GGAGCATTGGGTGTGTTTCCAAGAGACTCCCTCATGAGTCTCTTTCCAGGGAGACATTGCTCGACAGCTTCAGTCATTGGAATTTTTCTTCTGCCTTTTCTACATGAACATCTCCATGAGGTTTATTGAATATCTTTATGTCATAGCAACCAGTTATTCAAAAGCAAGTTGCTAGGCAATAACTTAATACAATATCCCTTTTATTTATAGATTATAATTTATAAAACATTGAAGCTAAACCTGTGATAAAGTTTAAATAAACAACAACATATTGTTATGACTTATTTGATATTCATGGAACCCAATCAGTGACTAATAGGAGGTTAAGGTGTAGAGTCTGAATGCATGAATGAGATTGGACTTATGTCATTGATTAAACAAAATGGATATTATGAAATTTCACCATGTGCTTACAACAGCATGACCTCTTCCCAAAGAAACCTTATAGTCATCCAATTAGTAAATTTTATGTTACTTCCCCTTAGCTCTCTGGAAAGTTGTTTTGACATATTTTCCACTTTGCTGCTGTTCCATACAAGAGGACTGTTACTGTGTGTGTTCTTTCCTGTCAGACTAATTTCTCTTAGCACTAGCTCTTCAATGTTTGTGTTATATTACCTTTAAGAACTTTAGGTTCCTTGCTTAAATGGTTGTATTTGTATAACGAAATAAGTGTAGAATGTAACAAAACCACGTTTATCAGTCAGTAGTCAATGTTCGTTTGCATTTTTAACTTTTCCTTAATTTGAGAAGTAGATTTTTATTTTGCATTATTTTAACACCAATTTCAAGTTTCTGATGAAAGCCTATATCAGAAAGAGCCCATTAATGCTTGTTAATGGTAATTCTTCTTAATTATAGTTTTATATTTAACATATTGATGGAACAGCAAACAATTTCTCACAGTATCTGGATGGCTAAATTCATTCAGAGCACAACCAGCGATGTGCAAGTGTGCCATGTTTTTCATACCTCCCATCTGGACATGCGGTTCTGATGTTTCTTTCAATGACCATGTATATATGTATGTTTACAAATATATGTGTATGTGTATACAGAGTTACATACATATATTCTCACAGGGAGAGAAAGGGAGAGGGAGAAACAAAGACTTGCAACTTTCATTTGTTTTATCCTTTTGACATCGTTCTTTGTGCTTACTGTTTGGTTATTGTAAGACGTATTTATTTTTATCTTTTCCTTTCTGTATTTATTTTTTTATTTTTTTGCTTTATGTATTTTTAAATATGTACTTTATTATGTGTATATATGTGGAGTATATGCATCTTGTTGCTTTGGGAACTGAACTCAAGTCCTCTGCAAGAGCAATGTGCTCTTAATCATTGAACTGTCTTTTAAGCCCCAGTGCCCCATATTGTAAATGGGTTCTTTATCATTTGACATCTGAATTGCAATTATTTTTATATATTTTTCATATCACCTTCCTGTCAAATGTAATTTGCTAATTATTTTCTCTATTATGTGAATTCCATGTAACCTTTCATTTCTGTGTGGGTGTGTGTCTGTGGTTATGTACACCTGATCATGTGTATTTGTGTTGAGCTGTACATATATGCGCTATAGACTGAGCTGTCTCTTAGCATTTTTGAACCACTCTTTCATTCTTTCTTTAGATTTACTTATTTTATGTACATGAGTTTTTTCCCTTCCGTGTGTGTATGCATATCATGTGTATGCATTTAATTCACACAGAGGTCAGAGAAGAATATTAGATTTCCTAAAACTGGAATCAGATGTTTGGAAACTACCATGTGGGCGCTGGCAACTGAACCCACGTCTTTTGCAATAGGAAGCAGGGTTTTTAGCCACTGAGCCACATTTTCCAGTATCCTCTTCATTTATTTTCCTGACAATGTTCTGTGATGATCCAAAAATTTATAATTCAACAAAGGTTTAATTTATTTATTTTTACATTGTGATTGTGATTACAGGGTCACAGCTAAGAAATTTTCATCTAATTCAATGGTTCTTCTTATGCTTTCAGTCTTTTCTGTTTTCTTGATTAAATGTGTCATCTGTTTTATAAATGAAGATAGTTATGCATGAATACTTTTAAAAACGACTAAAATTTTATATTTTCACTTTTTTGTTATTTTTGTGATTGCAATTTAATCACAACTCTCATTTCCATTTCCCCCCTCAAAACACTCAATATACCACTCCCCACTTTTCTTCAAATTTATTGCCTGCTTTTTCACTGATTGCTATTGAATGCATATGTTTTTATGTATTTCTAAATATAACCTTTTCAGTACATAAGATGTTACTTGTATCTGTTTTAAAGGCTATTTATATGTTATAATGTTTAATTTGTACATTTAGAGCTATGAATTAACTGGATTCGAATATGTATATTTGTTTTTTTCAAAATTTTTTCCTTTTATATTATTTTTATTTATTATAATTTATTCACTTTGTATCCCAGCTGTAGCCCCTATTTTCTTCCCTTTCCAATCCTACCTTCCTTCCTTCTTCTCTTCCCATGACCCTCCCCAAATCCCCTGATAGGGGAGGACCTCCTCCCTTTCCATCTGACCCTAGCCTATCAGAGCTCATCAGGACTGGCTGCTATGACTTCCTCTGTGGCCTGGTATGGCTGTTCCCCTCTGAGGGAGAGGTGATGAAAGAGCTAGCCACTGAGTTAATGTCAGGGACAGCCTCTGTTCTCATTACTAGGGTAACCTACTTGGAGACTGAGCTGCCATGGGCTACATCTGTGCAAGGGTTCAAAGTTATCTCCATGCATGGTCCTTGGTGGGAGTATCAGTCTCAGAAAGACTTCTGAGCACCTTGTGGAGTTCCTGTCCCCTCCAACTCTTTCTGTCTCCCTCTTCTTTCATAAGATTCCCTGAACTTTGCCCAAAATTTGGATATGAGTCTCAGCATCTGCTTCAAAACCTTGCTGGGTAGAGCCTTTCAGAGGCCCTGTGTGGTAGGCTTCTGTCCCATTCTCTGTTTTCTCCATCTTCTAATGTCTATCCCGTTTGCCTTTCTGAATAAGGATTATTCAGGTATACAACAAGGACAACTGCTCAGCTTTATTTATAATAGCCAGAGTCAGGAAACAACCCGGATGTCCCTCAACTGAGGAAAGTATACATAAATTGTGGTACATTTACACAATGGAATACTACTACTCAGCAATTAAAAACAAGGAAACCATGAAATTTGCAGGCAAATGGTGGGATCTAGAAAAGATCATCCTGAGTGAGGTATCCCAGAAGCAGAAAGACACACATGGTATATACTCACTTATAAGTGGATATTAGACCTATAAGATAGGATAAACATACTAAAATCTGTACACCTAAAGAAGCTAATCACATATGTATATTTGATTATACATATGTATGTGTGTGTTATGTGTGTGTTTGTGTGTGTGTGTGTGTGTGTGTGTGTTCAAGAACTCAAGTTCATGTTCCTGCCATGTGATACTAGACATTTCTGAAAAATGAATAATGCTATGTGGTCATTTCTGTGCTTGCATAGTGGTGTGTAGTCATTTCTGTGCTTTGATCTATGATCCACAGTCTTCTGTCTTTATACTCATATCAGTGACCCACAGCGTTAACGAACAATTTCAGCCCCTTTAGCTTTCCTCCTACTTTTTAGAGGTTGTTTTGGCCACTTGGGGATCCTTATATCTCTTCATGAACCTAAACAGTGGCTATTACATTTCTATATAAAACTTCACTTATAGGTTTGTTCACTTATATATGTTTGTTAAATGTTACCTTACATCTTCAGATCAATTTGAGAATATTAAATTTTACCAATAATTGTTTTTATTTTACCAATTGTCTTTACTGATGAATATGTCACATTGTACATTTATTTACTTTAAATCTTTTCAACAATGTTTTATTGTGCTGAATATACTGTCTTACATGCTTTTAACAAAATTATTGGTAATAGTTTCATATTGGTATACTGTTATGAACTAATTTGTACTAACCTCTATATGTGCTCTGGTAAGGAAAAGTATTTCTTTCTAACTATGTGCTTATTTATTCAAATAGCTAAATCCATAATGTTTAATTTGTTATAATGCATTTAAGTGTAAATTTAATGATCAAATCATCCTTAAGTTGGCATGTGGGAGCCTATTTTAATATTATTTTTCAAGGTTAAATAGTTTGATACATGATACGTCATGCTTGAATTGTGTTTTTCCTGTCATAGTCCCAGAATTACTTTTCCACACAATACTCCAAGCCATTTAATAGAAAATTTTAACAGGAAACTAATTATGCAATAAATGGGACTTTCTTTGGACAGCTAGCTTCCTAGTAATGACACAGAGACTTTTTATAGTTATTTTTTTATTTTTATATTAATTACAGTTTATTCATTTTGTATCCAAGCTGTAACCCCACCCTCATTCTGTCCCAATCTCACCCTCCTTCCTTCATCTCCTTTCATGCCCCTCTCCAAGTCCACTGATGGGGGATGTTGTCCTTGGTTAGAGATTATGATTGCTCCCAACTTGCTTGTATTTTAAATTAACCCTTTTTATTAATCTACTTTCTACCATGTGGTTTGTTATCTCTCAATCTTCATCCCTGCACTTATTTTTTCCACCATGTCTGTCTGGCACCTCTTTCTATGCTTGATTCTTTCCCAGAGTTTCAGTCTCTACCAGAAGTCCTGCCTTTTTCTCCTGACTTTGAAATTGGTTTTAAAGATCTTTAGTAAATTAATCAGAAAGGGTTGGAGGGAGTGTTTGCAAAATACAATGCAACCAAATAATAACAATTTCAAAATTTGACCAGTATTTACCTCTTTGCTTGCATAGAAATCAACATTTAAATGTACAAAGACAACCTTCACACAATGTACAAAAAAAAAAAAATCACCCTAACAGTACAACCTAATGAAAATGTATAATTCACAAGGGATCATCTTATAATTTTTGTTCATTTCCCCAAATAAAATTATAAATTCTGATGACTTGCCCATTTTTCTTCTCTCTCATCTAGTTCCTCCAGTCATCCGGGTGTATCCAGAGAGTCAAGCCAGAGAACCTGGAGTAACAGCCAGCCTTAGGTGCCATGCAGAGGGCATTCCAGACCCTCAGCTTGGCTGGCTCAAGAATGGGATTGATATTACACCGAAGCTCTCCAAACAGCTCACACTGCAAGGTGCTTGTTCCTTACATTATTTTCATTAAGTGGGTGTGCAAATCTTTTAGAGTAAAGTTTCAAAAATATTTCAGTACCTAGCAAATGTAAAACAATGAGGTATTGAACAACTGTGGGGAGTATTAAAACATGGCTGCATCTAAGACAAAACTGATACAATTCTCTAATATGTTTAGTGTAAATAATAATCTTATCACAGAGATTAATATAGGATGGCATTATTTTGGTGATAAATAAATTATGTAAATATATACCTCTTTTGATTAATTGTCCTGCAATTGTTTATTTCTTCTCTGTCACATCTTGAGTGTGCGATTGAAATACCACATCTAGGAATGTCTGTAGAGCTATAGCTAACATAGTGTTTAAAAAATTTTTTTCTCTTTTTTCCATTGTATGGTTTTGGCATCTTTGTCAAAAATCAGGTGTCCATAAGTGTGTGGGTTTATTTCTGGGTCTTCTGTTCGGTTCCATTGATCCACCATTCTGTTTCTATGCCAGTACCATGCAGTTTTTATAACTGTTGCTCTATAGTACAGCTTGAGATCAGGGATGGAGATACCCCCAGAAGATCTTTTATTGTAGAGGATTGTTTTAGCAATTCTCGGTTGCTTGTTAATCCATACGAAGTAAAAAAAGATAGCATCTTCAACAAATGGTGCTGGTCCAACTGGATGTCTACATGTAGAAAAATAAAAATAGATCCATACTTATCACCCTGTACAAAATTGAAGTCCAAGTGGATCAAAGACCTCAACATAAAACCAGACACATTAAATCAGCTAGAAAAAAAAAAGTGGGGAATACCCTAGAACTCATTGGTACAGGAGAAAACTTCCTAACAGAACACTAACAGCACAGGCTCTAAGAGCAACAATCAATAAATGGGACCTCATGAAACTGAAAAGCTTCTGGAAAGCAAAGGACACTGTCATCAAAACAAAGCAACTGCCTACATATTGGAAAAGAATCTTCACCAACCCTTTATCTGACAGAGAACTCTCATCCAGTATATATAAAGAACTAAAGAAGCTGAAAAGCAGCAAACCAAGTAATCCACTTAAAAAATGGGGAACAGAGCTAAACAGAGAATTCTCTGTAGAGGAATATCGAATCGCAGAGAAGCACTTAAAGAAATGTTCAACCTCATTAGCCATTAGGGAAATGCAAATCAAAACAACCCTGAGATTTCACCTTATACCCATCAGAATGGCCAAGATAAAAAACTCAAGGGACAATACATGCTGGAGAGGTTGTGGAGAAAGGGGAACCCTTCTCCACTGCTGGTGGGAATGTAAACTTGTACAACCACTCTGGAAATCAATCTGGTGCTTTCTCAGACAATGCTTTCTGAGGAAATCGCTTCATCAAGATCCAGCCATACAACTCCTAGGCATATATCCAAAAGAGGCTCAAGTACACAGTAAGGACATTTGCTCAATCATGTTTGTAGCAGCTTTATTTGTAATAGCCAGAAGCTGGAAACAGTCCAGATGCCCCTCAACTGAAGAATAGATGCAGAAATTGTGGTACATCTATACAATGGAGGATTACTCAGCAATGAAAAATAAGGAAATCATGAAATTTGCAGGTAAATGGTGGGACCTGGAAAGGATCATCCTGAGTGAGTTGTCCCAGAAGCAAAAAGACACACACGGTATATACTCACTCATATAAACATACAACAGAGAATAAACCCACTAAAATCTGTACATCTAAACAAACTAAGCAAAAGAGAGGACCCTAACTAAAATATTCAATCCCCATCCTGAAAGGTAAAGAGGATGGACATCAGAAGAAAAAGAAAACAGGAAACAACCTAGGAAGCTGCTACAGAGGGCCTCTTATAGCCAGAAGAAGAAAACAGGAAACAACCTGGGAACCTGCCACAGAGGGCCTCTGAAAGCCTCTGCTGTGCAGACTGTCAAAGCAGATGCTGAGCCTGATGGCCAACTGACAGGCAGAGTGAATGGAATTTTATGTAAGAAGTGGGAAATAGTAAGAGCTGGAGAGGACAGGAACTCCACAAGGAGAGCAACAGAACAAGAAAATTTGAACACAGGGAGCTTCCCAGAGACTCATACTCCAACCATGGACTATTCATGGAGATAACCAGAACCCTGACAATGCAGCCACTTCTGATGAGAACTGATAGACTAAGATCAGAAAGAAGGAGAGAAAGACCTCCCCTATCAGTGGACTTGGGGAGGGGCATGCATGCAGAAAGGGGGGAGGGTGGGACCTGGAGGGGAGGAGGGAGGGGCTTATGGGGGGATACAAAATGAATAAAGTGTAATTAATAAAAGTTAAATAAAAAATTTAAAAAAAGGAAGTACATAACAGTGTTAGATCACTTTACTGTCAAGGTCACAAGAAAACAATATAGGAACAAATGCAAATTACAAGCATGTATTCTGTACTTAGCAGTCAGTGACTTTTAAAGGAGATAAATTTACATATCTTTCCTTAGTGTTGGAAATCTTAGTTAGTATAGAAGAGATAGCACGTTTAAGGGTGCATTGTACATTTAAGATATATTTAAAACAATTCTTTAATTTGTTTTTTATCATGAAAGGTTTTTGCTATTGCTGTTTTTTAATTTCTTCATTAAATTAATAGGTAGCTTTCCTGAGTATAATAGTCTGGGTTGTTAGTTGTGGTCTTTCAAAACTTAAAACACATCTTTCTAGCCCCTTCTTCCTTTAAAAGTTAATGCACCGCATTCATTATTCATTCGTCTATTTGTTCTTGTTTCCTTCAAGCACAGTCATATTTTAACATCCTCTTCACATAGTGATAGTCTTTCTTTGGAGTTCTTGTCCTCGAGTATTTCCCGCTTGTTCCTGCTGGGGGATGCTACCACAAGATTGTGAATCTGGGAGGCAACCTGTTGTCCTATGTGCTCAGTTGCTTCATTTCTACACTGCACGGGTCTCCTATGGAGTTGGTAGAGTAGAGGGTTACACCACCAGGGTGTGGTGGTCTATGGACTGCTCATCCTTCCACAGTCCAGATACAAGGGATTTAGGAAAACTGAAAATGTAGGCCAGGAGTTCAGGACTCAGTGCCTCTTAATCCGAAGTTTGGGCTCAATGGCCTAGGTCTGGGGACGCCTTACCTGCTCCTATCAAGAAGTAGCCTGTGCCATTTATGTATTTATCCTTGCTGCTTACAATTCAGTGCCTTTAGCCTGGCACAAAAGGCTAATCAAATTAATAGAAATAGAATGAAGATTAAAATATTCTCTCACCAAGATTTGAAATTTTATTCATACTTAAAATAATTATATTTAGTGTAATAGTTAAGTAAGTTTTTGGTGAAATTTCATACAATTATGATATTATCTGACTGTCCTCTTTCTTCAATATTTCCAAATGTGTAATATGGTTCCTTAGTGTCAGTGGTACACTATAAACTTTTTTTTAATTTTTAATTTTTATATTAAGTACAGTTTATTTACCTTGTATCCCAGCCGTAGCCTCCTCCCTTATTCCCTCCCAATTCTGCCCTCCCTCCCTCATCTCCTCCCTGCCCCTCTCTAAGTCCACTGATAGGGGAGGTCCTCCTCCCCTTCCATCTGACCCTAGCTTATCAGGTATCTTCAGGACTGGCAGCAATGTCCTCCTCTTTGGCCTAGCAAGGCTGCTCCTCTCTCAGGGGTGGGGGGAGGTCAAAGAGCCAGCCACTGAGTTCATGTTCACTGTAAACTTTTTAGTGAGACAATAAACTTGAAGATGGAAATCACTCAGACCATGACGTATTTTTACATGTGTTCCTTTGAGTGAATAAGATTGCTGTTGTTTACTTTAAAAAAAGCTTTATAAAAATATTGGGTTTTAACTAGAAATGTGTATATTAAGAGGATGACAGTCTTTTAATATGAACTACTTCATTTGTAATATAGGAAAAGTAAATGGTAAAAAATGCAAAAGTGTTTGTGTTTGCTAGTACTGAGCGCTCGTCAATGGAGTGACAGCACAATGCACAAATACTTGAGAGCCTCTGGAGCAGGTTGGCATGTCTCCAAAGTGCAGAAAAAGGAAAAAACAGTTTAATTAGGACAAGCTCAGGGAGCTGTTTGACCGTATAATGGGAGTGCACTGCACCAAAGCTGAAGTTGTAGCTTACAAGCTGCGTTTCCCTTCTGTTCACAGCAAATGGCAGTGAGGTCCACATAAGCAATGTGCGTTATGAAGATACGGGAGCTTACACGTGCATTGCTAGGAATGACGCAGGCGTGGATGAAGACATCTCTTCTCTTTTTGTGGAAGATTCTGCTAGGAAGACCCGTATGTACTGAGCCCCACTCCCAACACACACACACACACACACACACACACACACACACACACACACACA